TCATGGCTTTCTGCCGGGCCCTTTGGGGCCTAAGGAAATGGCCCCCTAAGGCAGTACACACGGCAGAGCAGTCCTGAGTGGACAAGAGGGCAGGTTCTGAGCCACACAGTTTGGATTCAAGCCCAGGTTTTACTGCCCTGAGGCCTTATGTAAATTACTTAATCTTTTGTGCCTCTGTTCTGACAACTGTACTTCCTTCATCTAATTGTATGATGAATAAATTAATTCAGAACAGCTTAGACCAGTGCTGGGCACATAGTAGGCATTCAGCTTAAAGGAGAGTGACTGTTATTATATAACTACTAGGAGCTAAATACATGGGACAGAAAGCTATTTCAAAGTTCAAACAAGTAACAAATCAGTGTGGGTTGCTTGATCCAAAAAGTGACGCAGAGGAGATATAATATTAGCATCTGAAGTAAGACCTGAAGAGGAAGATGGTTGCCGGAGGAAGAGGAGAATTCACAGGACCAGACATAGGACAACCTAGTTAGAGTGGTATTTTGTCCCATTGGAAAATAGGCGGCTATGAGGTTGAAGGATGGACAGCCCGTTGTGGAGGGGCTAGGTAGGCACCAGGACAAGGACTGTGCATGTTACCCTGTGGACCATGGGAAGCCCCTGAGGATTCCTAAAAAAGGAGAATGACAGCATATGAGTAGAGTCTTTGCCAAGGTTAATTCTGCAGCACTAACAACTGAGGCTTGGAGGGGAGGGGAGACGCAAGGCAAGGAAGCCATTCACAGGACGATCGCAGTAATCCAGGTGGGAGGGGAATAGAAAAGGAAAGGCTCAGATGCCTTCAGGAAAGTACTGAAACGGAATTTTTGGACTGGAATCCGGATTCATTGTCCGCCAGAATATCCACGGACAGAAAGTGGTATACAAAGGTGAAGATTTATTGAAGAACAAGTACAGACTCCCACGGAGGGAGGGGGAAGAGTCACACAGAATGGACTCTCACATGGGGAGGGAGAAAGGGTCCCACTGAGTGCCTTTTCCCTATGGCTTATAAAGGCTGCAGATCCCTGTGCCCTGATAGCCCCTCTGATTGGTCACTATTCCCCTAGACTGGTTACTATAGTAACTCCTGGGCTCAAAGTTTGAACCTCACTTGGGACATGTGAGTTCTCTCCCCCACCCCCCCTCTACCCCCATCCTTACTGTTTTCCTATTCCCTTTGGGCTTTCTTCTTCTGGATGAAGGGCTTCCCTCCCTTTATTCTGTAAATATAGACCTTTTGCTGTTCCCCGCTCCCTCATTCTATGGAAATGTACCTGTTTCAGCTTTTCAGCTCCCCCATTCTATGGAAATATACCTTCTGCTGCTCTGCAGCCCTGTGCTTCTTCCATGGTCCCCTTAATTTCTAAAGTTTCCTAAAACCTGTCTTTTTCACCCAAAAAAATTCCTGTTTCACCACGATGGTCATGATGGAGAAGTACTCAAAATGATGAAGGATGACAATTGATGCTGACGCTTTGGCCTAAATCAGTAAGTAAATGTTTGAAGGGAAAGACCATGAGCTGGGAGGGCAGGGAGCTCTGTAAGGTGGGGTATGTGATTAACACCGGTGGGTCTCTTCCTGTCCTAAATTCCCCATGATGCTGCCCATCACTAGATGTGTTATTATGGAGAACATTAGTCGTTGTTTTACGCTATATTTATTTTATAGTATTCACTAATAAGAATGTTTAACTTTTTTAAATAAGGGAAAAAGTATTCTAGAAACTCATGACATCTGTCTATAGCAGCGGTTCTCAACCTGTAGGTCGCGACCCCTTTGGCAGTCGAACGACCCTTTCACAGGGGTCGCCTAAAACCATCCTGCATATCAGCTATTTACATTACGATCCATAACAGTAGCAACATTACAGTTATGAAGTAGCAACAAAAATAATTTTATGGTTGGGTCACAACATGAGGAACTGTATTTAAAGGGCCAGAAGGTTGAGAACCACTGGTCTATAGGAATAAGACTTCATTTTAACAATTTTCAAGGAAAATGTAGATAGTGTAGATAAGTTATACAGATGTTTATAGATATAGGTATATTCTATTATAAGGAAATCACATACCATTTTTAAGGAGAAAAATCAAATGCATTTTTCATTTCTATTTTTAATACATAAGATGCCTAAAGCAACAAATTAGTTCTTTTAAAAGAAAAAAAGTGCCTACGTTTTTGTCATAAATTCCAAAAATACACAGACACATCATTTATTTAGTCTACAAAGGATGGCCACGGATGTGGCTCAGAAATGCCAGGCGTGTGCCCAAGTGAACCCCAGTCAAGCCCGCTCTGACCCGCCTGGAGTAAGGTTCCGAAGAAGCACCCCAGGGGAGCACTGGGAAGTTGACTTCACAGAGCTCCCAGGAGGCCAGGGAGCATACAGATACCTTCTGTTGTTCATAGACACCTTCTCAGGATGGCCAGAGGCCTACCCCACCAGGACTGAGACAGCCCAGGTAGTGGTTAAGAAGCTCCTCTCTGAAATTGTCCCCTGGTTTGGCCTACCACTGTACATGGGGTCTGACAACGGCCCGGCGTTCACCGCCAGGATGACCCAATTGGCAGCTAAGGCATTAAAGGTAACTTGGAAATTGCATTGCGTATACAGGCCACAAAGTTCAGGACCCCCTGGCGACTTGGTCTGGGTCCAAGACACCAACCCGGAGGGCTCGAGCCACGCTGGGATGGTCCATACACTGGTCCTCTGCACCCCCTCAGCAGTCAAGGTAGCCGGGAAGAAACTTTGGATCCATCACACCCAAGTGAAGGCGGCTGACAGGGGAGACAGCCCCGGAGGTGGAAAGAGAAACTAACCCAGGACCCACTAAAGGTGAAACTAGTACCTGCATCATGATCTGTCTACTGCTGCTCGCTGTCATGTGGAGGTTCGGTAAGCCCCTCTCCCACCAGGCCCCACATTATGCCTGGGAGGTGATCCGCACCACGGACGGGGTAGTACTGGCCTGAGAAACGGGCACCGGTGAACCGACTCTCCGGTTTGACCTGTGTAGCCTCTTCGGGGAGGATTGGAACCTGCCCCAGGACAGACCCAGGCTCATGAATTTGGGCCCAGCCGGGTGCAGCTGGGGATCCCCGGGGGAATGGCTACACACAGGGCCACAACCACCTATGGCTGCGGGACCCGAGGGACTGAGCAACAACTATGGCGTGCTCCCCTATATGTCTGCCCGCGCCAGCCCCGGATTCCCTCTCTGAAGTGTGGGGACCAGGAGGATTATCATTGTGGACAGTGGGGCTGTGAAACCTACGCCAAATGGCCCCCGAAGCTTCCGGACAGGGACATACGGTTCACCCGACAGGTGCGGCCAGGAGCCCCGGAAAGGAACTGTACTATTGGAAACTGCAACCCCATTGTCATCAAACCCGTGGCACATTGGGCTAAAGACTGGACCGGGGGAAAGACATGGGGATTGAGGCTATATGTCTCTGGACCAGACCCTGGGGTACTATTTACTATTCAGCGACGGGAAATACCCCGACCGCCCAACCCAATTGGCCCCCTGGCCCCTCAGCGACCCGAGGTCAGGAGACCAAGCCCGGCCCCACGTGTGACGAGCCCGCCACCACCATCATCAAAGACTGAGGCAAGTCGCCGGGATGCAGTAACCTGGCCTCCGCCTCGGAGAGCTCCGCTGAGACCAGACATTTTTGTGCTGCTGGAAGCCTCGTGCCAACTTCTGAACAAAAGTGCACCTGACCTTACTGCAGACTGCTGGTTGTGCCTCAACCCCGAGCCCCCCTATTACGTAGGGAACGGAGCTTTGGTTCCATTTGGGGCAAGTGTTGTCCACGTCCGCAACGTGTCCATGGATGCAGAAACGCCGGGACTATGTGCATGGGGAAATGGAAGGAGGGGATTAACTTTAGGTGATATTACTGGAGCTGGGCTGTGTGTCGCACCTGCCAATTACTCCCTCCCCGATTCCCCCTATACAGAAAATTGTAACCAGACACTCCGACTTACGGAGAGATCAGGGTCCAGGACCCCCTGGTACATGGTGGCCCTAAATGGTACCTGGTGGGCATGCACCACCGGAATCACCCCTTGCATACTCTCCCTAAACCTCCAGACTGGGCCCGAGCCAGGGCTCTGCATCCTAACTCACATCCTTTCGCAAGTGTATTATTACTCAGGGGAAGGAGGAAGGGAACACCTCCTCATAGAGCCTCGGCTGATTAAGAGTCCCAGTTCTGGTTCCCCTACTCGTAGGACTCGGAATTGCAGGATCCACTGCGGTAGGGACAGCCACCCTAGTGACAGGACACCAAAATTACAAAGAACTGGGTAGTCAAATTGACCAAGACCTGAGTACCCTAGAAAAATCCATAGGACAGTTGGAGGAATCAGTAGGGTCCTTAGCTGAAGTAGTCTTACAGAACAGAAGGGGACTCTACCTACTTTTCCAGCTGACAGCAGTGGCAGCCCCCGGAGGGGGAAAGTGAAACTAACCCAGGACCCACAGCGGTAGGGACAGCCGCCCTAGTGACAGAACATCAAAATTACTAAGAACTGGGTAATCAAATTGACCAAGACCTGAGTACCCTAGAAAAATCCATAGGACAGTTGGAGGAATCAATAGGGTCCTTAGCTGAAGTAGTCTTACAGAACAGGAGGGGACTCGACCTACTCTTCCTGAAACAAGGGGGACTGTGCCTAGCATTAGGGGAGGCGTGCTGCTTCTACACTAACCACTCCGGGGTAATCAGAGAGAGTTTAAGTCAGTTAAGGAAACGGCTGATGGACAGAGAAGGGGGAAACTGGTATGAGAATCTGTTCTCCTGGTCCCCGTGGCTCACAACCCTTCTATCCGCTGTGGCAGGACCCCTCCTCCTCCTAATAGTAGGTCTCATTTTCGGACCCTGCCTGCTCAGGTGTCTCCTCAATTTTATCCAAGACCGAATCCAAGCTGTCGCACTCATGATCCCGCACAGCCAGTGCTCTCAGCTAGTGGATGCTAGCGACGAATCCAGGGTCTGAATTTGTCTCTTAAGACCAGTAGGGAGTGTGATGAATTGAATGTCAGTAAAAAATTTAACAAGGATGGGGTCAAGGATAGGTAACCAGGCATAACTCCAAGTCTCCCACTCTCAGACATCGACGTCAAGGTCCTGATTAGACCCTTGTAACTGTAAATCAAGGACGTTTGTGTTTTCTGGGGATAAAAGCTCGAGGAACCCCAAGTCGGGGCTGTTACAGGAGAAAGCCTGTGGCAGTCACTGGCCAGTTCAATAAATCCTCGCTTGCTGTTTAAGGCCTAATTGGACTCGGTGGTCTTATTTTCGCGAATGTTGGTCCACAACAGATATTGCATCACAGAAAACTTACAAGAGAGCATCACACATCATCACCCTTAAGCGGTCCTTGGTCATCCCTACCACCTGGAAGTTTTCACTGCCTCTCTTCTCCCTCACTCCCTAGCCTTCTGCGGTGTGGCGGGGGGCCTCTCCCCTCTGCAAAGACTTCCCACTGTCTGACCTTGCCAGGGACAGTGACCTATTATTTCCACCTGCCATTGGAAGATTTAAAAACCCTATTTCTTCAGGAAGCCGTGCCATTACATTCTCCTGTTCCTTCCCAGACTTGTCCCAACTAGCACACTCCCCACCCGTGGTTCTCAAACTTAAGCGAGTGTTAGTATCCCCTGGGGGGCTCCTCAAAACAGAGACTGCACAGCCCCACCCCCAGAGTTTCAGGTTCAGTGGGTGTGAGGTGGGGCCCGAGGATTTCCATTTGTAACTAATTCCCAGGAGATACTGATGCTGCTGGTAGTGACCTGCCACACTCTGAAAGTCACTATTTTAAATACGTTTTTTCTAACAATAAAATAACCTATGAACTCCTGGCCTTCTCATTCCCCATACAAGGAAAGAACTGACCTTTAAAAGATTTTCTATATCTCGGACCTGGTTGGGTAAGACAATCTCTCCTAGTACCATTTTCTATAAATGGAAACCATTCTTAAAATATTTTTTCTGCCCTCTGTTCAGAGCATTCTTATAATGAGGATCCTGACTCTATTTTTTTTTTTTTTGAGAGACAAAAAGGAAGGGAGAGGGGGAGAGAGAGAGAAACATCGATGTGAGAGAACCATGGATCAGCTGCTTACTGCACGCACCCTTATTGGGGATCAAGCCTGGGCATGTGCCCTGGTCAGGAATCAAACTGGCAACCTTTTGGTGCCACTGAGCCACACGGGCCAGAGCCTGACTCTATGTTTGATGTTTGATGTCTGACTGCTCACAGCTCTCAAACCTCACTCCTCCCTTTTCCCTGTGCTATCATCTGAGCCCGGCTGGGTGCTCCCTGCGTTGGCATAGGTTGGAAGTTCAAACCACTAATTCTCTTTTACACATAGCCCTCAGCCAGCCCACCCCCCCACCAAGATAGAAACCCAGGCCAGTCTCTTTCCTGGATCTCTCAAGACATTTTGAACCTGCTTTAGAAATCTGTCCTGCTCCCCTCACCCAGAAATCCTCATTAATGTGGCACTAAACCTTTTCGTATCCCTTTAGTGTGTGTATGGCACCACCAGGACCAACTTGGAGTGAGAGTCCTCCTATTTTGCAGGGTGACCACAGAGATTCTCTCAGGGCTTGGAGGTTTCCCCTTCTCTCTACACTTACAGAACCTAAGAGAAATTATCCTATGCAACTACATGAGTAGAATTAAGCAAAAGTTCACGTAAGAAACTCCTGTGTCGAGCATCTGCCCCCTGGTGGTCAGTACGCACATAGCAACCGGTCAGTGTGCCGAAACTAGCTCTCCGACATCCCCTGAAGGGTCCCAGAGGGCGCAGGCCAGGCCAAGGTACCCCACCAGTGGACGATTGGGGCTGGGGAGGGGAGTGGGAGGTTGGCCAGCTGGGGAGGGACTGCAGGAGGGCTCCAGGGCATGTCCAGGCCATCTCACTTAGTCCCAATCATCCAGACCCCAGCAGCAAGCTCGTTGGTCAGAGCGTCAGTCCCCTGGTGGTCAGTGCATGCCATAGCAAGCAGTTGAGTGGCCTTAGCATATCATTAGCATATTATGCTTTGATTGGTTGAATGGCCAACTGGACACTTAGCATATTAGGCTTTTATTACATAGGATGGAGAAAACAATTATCAACTCCAAGGAAAATAAAGCATTTACTTGGCTTATCTGTAAAATAACATTTTTATGATCAAAATAGTAACACTGAATATTGATATAAGCAAAATTCTTCTATAGCTATATTAGGAGAGAGGGGCAGGAAGTAAATATATAGGTTAGGTCAAAAGAAAAAGTCTCAAGCAAGGGAATTAGTCAATACATTATGACTAAAACTGCAAAGATTTAGTAATAGAGCTGCAGCAAAAAATAAGTGACAAAATAAACTATATAGAGGTATGAAGTAAATCTCAAAAAACAGCTCAATTATTTGAAAGTTATTGTTGCTGAAGAGTAAACACTTGGGAGGGTGTACAGAGGTGTCCTGGTATTTTTTATTGGAAGCCCTGTAGAATTGTCTGACTTCTTAAACTATTTGCACCTGTAGCTTTAACTAAATATAAGTTATTCATAATTTTAAAAAATACCCAATAAAAAATTACTAAATTAATTTCTCTTTACTACCTACAAAGAATCTGAGTGACATACCATATATGGGTTAGGGTTAGGGTTGGGGTTAGGGTTACTTTTCTGTAAAACGAGAAAAGTCGATATGAATATGGAAGAAAGGCAAGGGAAAGGAGAGAAAGGAATACAAGTTTCTTAAAGAATTGCCAAATTCATAGAAACTTTCTTATCACTTTATTTCTCAGTTGAAAGAAATAAAAACATAACAGCCACATGATTTTGTCTGGGGGTTTGGTTTAATTTTGCTTTGTTTTAGGGGAAGGAGGTGTTAGAAAGGTATTCTCATACTTTGAAAAGCTGAGAACCACTGAGCTAGAAAATTGTTTCTGACTTACAATTTCGAGTTGATCTACTTTTCAAAAGAGAATCATAGCTGTTAGCGCTCACATTCCAGCTCTGCAGCTCCCTGAGGACAACCACACAAACAGAGGCAGTTATTTTTCCTGCACGCCTCAGGGTGTTTCTATAATCTATGGACATAAGTAGGGTGTCTGTGCTAATGGTACTGGTCCCAGGTGCATTGCTGCAAATGAGACTATCTGTGGATCTGTTCCTCTGAGAAGTAGCCATTTTCACATCTGGTGTGCTTTCTGCTTATCTAACTTACAGATGTAACATCAAAGAAACTGGCCAGGGTTTTTTATTGTTTTAAATAACATTCAAATTACCATTGTATATCTGATTAGCTCTTAATAAAGTGTTCCATGTTTTGTAACTTCTAACATTTGCATTTAATAATCTAGAAGCAAGCAACCCAAGTCATGTAACTGAGTAAGAACGTTCTTAGGTTTGTTTTTTGTATGGTTTGGTTTTGGGGTGCCAGGGGGATGGGGGAGTTGTTTGTTTCTTGGTTTTTTGGTTGGTTTTGGGGTGGGGGGTTCTAAGTTGTTTGGTTTTCTAACACTTGTATTTTTCTTCACAAATAGCTATAATTCCCCTAGCATAAAGTTCACCAAAATATTAAGGAAGTTATCTTCTGTGGGTGGAACAGCATTTCCTAAAGGAAGAGCAGGTGGAAAGAGATGTCAAACCTGGACGCTAGTAAATGGCCAAATGGTTCCGTCAAGTCAGTATTTGAATTTGGGGACTTGAGGCTCTGGAGAGAGGCAGGGGCTGAAGGTAGACATTTATAGGGTTGGAAATCATCAGCTTATAGTGTTACAATTCTGCCTGACTGTGATTCTTTCCAAGGTGAGGTACAAACAGAGAGCAACGAGAATTGGGTTGACCCCGTGTTAGGGTTTGCCCAGTGAGTAATTAAAAGGAGGGCAGACAAGAAGATGGAAGGCAGTTGCAAGAGAATGATTGCAACACTGGATTGTGGAACCTCGCCTGGAAAGAAGCCAAGTCAGAACATCAGGAGATGGACTGATATTCAAATAGCCATACAATAAGCATATCGTACACATAAATCTTTCTCCATTTTTAATCGTTTTTTCCAAGAATAGATTTCTAAGAGTAGAACTCTTCAGTCAAATGGTATGAATTTTTTAAGTTATTGGTGCGTGTTGCTAAATTTCTTTACAAAAAGTCTATGCCATCTTCAGCTGATCTACCTGTCTCAAGAAACTCTAGCCAGTTCCATTACAACATAGAAGAAAAAGATTTGATTGCTATCAAACCTTTATCATCTCTAAAACCAAGCCAGTACCTCCATCCTTGAATCTCCTACCCGTGCAGTCCTCTCTTCATTGCTTTAGTTTTCATTCACTATAAATTAACCTTCCCACCGTGAGTGATTATGTTTCAATTCAAAGTCCTTCAAATAACTGTAAATACTGCATTCAAAAGAAAATTTGAACAAACATTTTTCAAAAAATTATAGCATCAACAAAAACATTTCATTTCATTCCAGCAGCAAAAATGGTCTCCCTCTCACCCTCTAATCTCTGGTCACTAAGAATTTT